ATATGAGCTAAAGTTACATATATATATATATATATATATATATACACACACACACACCCACACTTAGAATCCAATCATCTGTAGTTTCTTTTTCTAAAATACAAAAAGATAATCATATTATGAGCTCCACGGCATTAGAGACTTTTATAACCAAATCCCACCAAACCATATTAAAAAGCTAAAACTTTTCGGCCAAAAAAAATATTAAAAAGCTAAAAGGATAAAAATATGGACGTGAGTGTTACAACTTACAAGTTGATATTTATTAAAAATTGATCTTTGTCTGCGATTCACGAGACATGACAGGGGATGTCTAATTATTATTATTTTTTCTCTCCTCACTTTTCATCTCATGGAACATTGGAACTGAACACAGTTGGGGTTGCCTCCTAGATATTATTTGCCAGCTAATTTTGGGCAGCATACAAAGTTATCTTTTATTTGATTGATTCAAATGTGAACCCACAATGTTTGAGGAACAGCGTATTTGTATTAGAGAGTTTATGTATAACACAATTTATTACATATTAAATATGTCATAATAATTTTATAATAATAAGTACATATCAATTTATACGTAATTTTAAATTTAAAATTTAAAACTTATTAATAGTTGAGGATAAATCAAGTTTCTTTAATCGATTGAATATAATCATTTAAGATATAAGTTTAGATTGAGTCTAGGCATTGCTCTTCCCTAATCTCTAAGAAGCATATTTGTTACCATGGGAATTGCAAAGTTGAAGAGCTTATTTGCTTGTTTTATTTAGTTTAGGGGCTTATCTTCTAAAATGAAATTTGTTGTGGGCTTAGGGTTGAGTTTTACCCTTTATTTAATTAATCAAAACAGCAGACTTTATCCCCAAAAAAATAAAAAAAATAAAAAATCAAAACCGCACTCTCTTAATTTCGAAACTCTGACACCACAAAAATTTTCAAAATCATAATTGTCAAAACTCGGAATTTGGCAAAAATCACGGGGGCACTTTAGACATACCAAACTATATCATGCTTTAAACCATGTCCTCTTCCCTTTCTCCTGCGTCGTGTCTTGTGGGTTTCACGTCACAGCTAAAGTAGATTGAAGGAAAAAAAAAAGGTATGATCTTTCTCCTTTGGATCCCTCAAATCTAGGTTTTTACTCATTATATGCTAAATTTATGCTCATAAATCCTCTAAATCAAGCATGAATTACTGCATTTGAGGCTAAAGATTGAAGCTTTACTTTGATTGTTTCAAGTATTTTTCCTTTCTTCTTTGTTATGCATTCTGGTAGGTTTTTTGTAGCTTGGATCTCTTGGGTTTTAAATTTAGTTGGTTCTGTAATTGAAGGTGATTACTTTCTGGGGTTTCAGTTTTTTGCTTGATTTGGTTAAGGTTATGGCTGTTCTAATTTTGGAGTAATGTTGGTTGTTATTTAGTCAAGTGGGACTGACCTTGAGTTCTAAGCTCAAGTTTTCGGGGTTATCTGGTTTTAATTTTCTGACTGTGAGAGTGTTAAGAGTTGCTTAATCTGTGCCGGCGTATTTTGGGAATTAGAAAACTGAACAGGTAACTGATGGCATATTTTCAACATTTTCCTTGCATTTTTATAGCCATCTAGGAGTTGACTATGTTTTTCGCTTCCCCAAGTAGCTGGGTACGGTTTTGTCGTTCCCTGATCTTCAAGAATATGGATGATAAAACTTCATAGATAAAATGCCCTGCATTAAAGTTTTCTATAGTACTTGGCCGTCTCTGTCGGCTTTGGCTAAGTTGTATACCAAATCAACCATTCTGTTCTTTATTATTAATATTTTGAAGTGTGGCAAGTCCTTTCCTTTCCTCCTTTGCATTTTGCACTCTCATAGTGATATGTGATGATCCCATGCTTCATGCTATTATCATTTAGATTGTCAATGTTTGATTGTAGATCATTAAGTAGAACACCTAACATGGTATTTTTATAGAGTTAGGATTGATTTACACACAACTCTTACAAACATCATTTGCACAAAATCTTGACCATTCATCTCTTCACCATGAATGGTTGAGATTTACTTACATTTTATTATATTTTTCAAAGATAATTGTCTTTTTCATCTAAAAAGTTGTAATAAATCTCAACCATTCATAATGGAGAGATGAATGGTCAAAATTTTGCGTAAGTGATGGCTGTATGAGTTGTATGTAAATGGATCTTAACTCATTTTTATATATCTCCAATTAAATGAATAAGAGGCTTCTTGTCAATGCTTGCGGATTGAAGTTAATGTTGCCTTCTAGCTAGTCAGTAGTCATTTTTCCTAATGTTGGCAAGTACTAGGATTTGCAAGATGGAGAGCATGAATAGCTACTGGCAATTGGGTGATGAGCTTCGAGGGCAATCAAAAGTATCAGAAGATCATAAATGGTTAATGGCTGCCTCTAGATTAGCTGAGCAGACCAGGTCAAAGGGTGAACGCGTGAATAACCTTGACCTCTCGAAAGGCCTGGCTGACATAAGAACAAGAGATAAGTTTGGGTTCCAGGAAGACAACAAGTTTGAGAGCCTTAACTTCAGCATGCTTAACTTGGACTCTAAAATAGCAGATAGTGTGAGCAAGAGTTCCTTCCAGAGTGGTATTTATAATATGAATGCTGTTTATCAGAAAAATAACAGCAATACTCTGGGAAATTTGACTGGGAACAAATATAGTGACAACAATCACAACAGTATCAAGGAGGCTAATAATAACAATAATATCAGCAATAACAATGAAAATAGCAATGCAAACAATGCTGTAGACAAAAGGTTCAAAACTTTGCCTGCAACAGAGACACTCCCTAGGAATGAGGTGCTTGGCGGATACATCTTTGTATGTAACAATGATACAATGCTGGAAGATTTGAAGCGCCAGCTGTTTGGTAATTGCCATGCTGTTCTCTTATTTTGTTCCCTTTCCTTTATATTCTGGTCATGGATTACAATATTTTGATTGTTACTTTGATTCGATAGGTTTACCACCGAGATATAGGGATTCTGTGCGAGCAATAACTCCTGGCTTACCACTATTTCTCTATAACTACACCACTCATCAGCTGCATGGAATTTTTGAGGTTTGTAGCCTAATTCATGACCTACTATATTTATATGGGCAATGCCCTGCAGTTTATAAAATTGAGATGGTTCTATTGCAATGCTTCCCCCCACCCAAAGAAATTAAAAAAAAAAAAAACTTCTTTAAAGTTACCTGATATTGCTCCAGGTGAGGCTGTGCGTATTTGTTTCTTTTTCCTTTGATAATGGTTTTCTTTATCATGTTCAGGCAGCATGTTTTGGGGGTTCTAACATTGATCCCACTGCTTGGGAAGACAAAAAGTGTAAGGGCGAGTCTAGGTTTCCTGCTCAGGTAATGTCTTTATTTTTTAGCAAACCTTTTTTTTAACCTTTCATATAGAAGCCTGAGTCATTATACTTGTTCCATGCCATTTGTTTCTTTCTTTACCATAATAAATAGGTAAGGATCCGTGTGAGGAAACTGTGCAAGCCATTGGAAGAGGATGCCTTTAGGCCGGTTCTTCATCACTATGATGGCCCCAAATTTCGTCTTGAGCTTTCAGTTCCTGAGGTATATTATTTTATTGGTCTTTTTCTTCGATATTTTCTTCTCCATTTCATGTACAATTTAATCAACCATGGGTAATCTGAAACTCATTAATTTTTGTATGGTGGTTCTGCAGACCCTGGATCTGTTAGATCTCTGTGAACAAGCTGGCTCTCAGTAAGCAGAACATGGATGAATATGCAAATGTAGCAAGGTTTGTCTGCTTGCTTTTCATAGGTTTTCCACAAAGCGCAAGCTTGGAGTGTAAAATTAATCATCTGGTGAACTGAAAAGTATGAATGATG